ATATTTTTCTTTAGAAGCAACATAGGAAGATGGGAGAAATTTACACGTAAAACATTTCTAAACATATTTCCATGAATTAGAGAATATCTTCTTTAATACGATTCAGAATAAATAAATAATAATATTTTCCTATAAAATATGTATCAAAGTAAATATTATAACAATATCAATTATATTATTGGATAAAATAATAAATATTCAATAATATGATATGCAACAATGTTTGAATAACTTTTCGTACAAATATAACTTTTTGTGTGAGCATGATGGTAATTAGAGTTTATAGTCTTTATTAAAAATAAAAAAACATTATATCGGATAATATAGTATTGCGCATATGAAATAATTTATGCAAGAATAAATGAATGCACTTTATATAAGTAATTTCTCTTTGTATGAAGTTATTTTTTCATAATATAATATTGAAAACTACATAACCATTTAGTACTCATCTAGCTTAACATTTAAATTTGAATTATAATTATTTTTACACTAATATCATATATTATAACACTAAAAATATTCTTTACAACAATATTTATGATATTAATATTTTATTTTTTAATAGATATTTCTTTTATTATTAAATGTACTGTAGATAATTATAACATCCTATTTATTTGTGAACTTGTTTATATTTGATGTATTAACTTTTTGTGCTCGAATAAAAATTTATTTATTTTGTGTTCTTTCTAATATTAAAATGTTTATTAAGTTATATAATTCTTCCATCTATTAAATTTTTCATAAACTTATAATGAAGCTTAAGGAAAAAACAGAATATAAGATTTATATTAGTTATACTAAAATATATATAAATATATATATATGTAAGATAAAATGTGAATCCCATATATCACAATTTATTAAATTAATGTCCTTTTTTCTTAAAATTTAGTGTTATCATATATATATTAATGAAAAGAAGAACAATATATATAAGATTTTATTTTATACGTATCATGTACTTTCAGAATTATAATACATGTATAAAATGACTTAGTGTTCTTTTTATTATAAATATTAATGTAAGATATACACAATAAGTATATTCATTGTATAATTATTTGTATATAAATTAAGAATTAGGAAGGAATAAATTCTTTTTCGATAAAATATATCAAAGGAAAAATATTTTATTTTAGGTAAACGTAGAATATTACACAATAAACATACATGTAAGAGAAATATTCTCACTATACTATGCGTTTATTTCTTATGACTTTAACTAATGTAATGACATTGGTACAATATTTATAATTATGTAATTAAAACTTTTAATTGTAAATACTTATTGGTCTTTTTAAGTGGTAAATAATTATATTTATGAAAAAAATAAATAAACGCAAATCACTTTAAGTTGTAATTTTTTTATAAAGGAGTGAAAAAATAAATGTACATTAATTAAAATACACATAGCATGTATTCATATGTAATTGTATTAATAATCGATTCTAGCTATAATAATAAGAAATAACATATTATTAAAGAAAAATAATAACATCTAATACTCCCGAAATATACATATATATTAATTCATATAAAATACTTAGAACATGTAAATACACTAGCCTTAACATATATATGTAAAAATAATTTTCATGCGCATGCTAGTTATTAAATATATGTGAACATTTATTATGAATGAATATATAAATAACAAAAATTTTATTTCGTATCTTTGTTACATATTTAAACGCATTTATCTCTGAAAATACATGTTATATATTTTGTATCATAACGCGAAATCATGTTATTGCCTTGTATTATAATATAAATGAAATCATTAGTTATATAATTCAGCGTACTCTTAGGAACGAATTTAATTACAATTATATATTTATTAATTATAATAATTATTATGCTCAAACAACAATATATGTGCTAATGAAATTGATAAAAAACCTACTTTTATACAGATATATAATTAACTTAATATTAAGATAATTAATTGATTCACAGGTTCATAATATCCTTATGTAAAGGTTTATATTTAAAGTAATCCATTATGTTTACGAATTTATTTGAAACATTGCAACTTTAACGATGTATGATGTAAGACATATTAAGTAATAAATTACATAATATGATAAATTAAGTTAATTGAAAAAATTTTGTACGGAAATGTTTTTAACATGCCTCAGAATGTAGGAAGAACTTTATTTATTTTTGTATGATAATTTAACTAAGATGCACAAATAAAGCGAAAACTAAATAGCTCTCTCAATGGATATATATACGTAAAAAGAGATGGTTATAAAATCTAAGATTCTCAATATTTAAAAACAGATTTATAGAATGACAAGTTAAAAGAATTATTAAAAATATATAAAAACATGCTTCGGTGAATCATATTATCTTAAAAAAAGAGTACTTGAAATATATGTTGTGTTCTAAAAAATTATTATCTGATTTTCTTATTTCATTACCAATAAATTCTGCCATTTAGCTTTTATTACTTAAATATGCATCTATTAATATTTCATCACAAATAAAAAAAGCTTTTTACGTATTCTTCGCGTTTTTAATAATAAATTTACTTATATTTTTTTTTTTTAATAAAATGTAATATATAAATTATTATAAAATATTTTAAATATATTTTAAAAGAAATATGAATTTATTTAAAATTAATATAATTGGAACTATTTATATAACTTATATATTTTGAATATTATATGATCTATATGTGGTATTCTCAAAAGAAAGTTTTCCTATATAATAAATATAGAGAAAGAGGTAATTAGAAAAATATATTGAAGATAAATATGCCTTAATAAATTATGATGTTTTGAAATTATGATTTAAGATGAATAATTAATATAATTTTCATATCTGGGAGAAGTGCATAACTATATTATATCTTAGAGGGAATCATTTAATTATACCAAATTATGATTAAATTAATATTCTAAAAAAAATCATATTATAAAATAGTAATGGGAAATATGCAAAGAAAAAATGTATTTTTTTATAAAGAGCAAATATATACAGTAAAATATTAATTATATTAAAAACTATGTTAATAATTTTATCATTCTATACACAATGTAAGTAATATAGCATTTAACATGTTAGTATCATAAACATAAAGGCATAAAATATAATTCATATTAAAATATTTTGTCAAAATTAAAAGAATAATTATGATTTAAGAATAAGGAATAACATATATATTTCATAATTCCGAAAGGACATTTCATTAATTTTATATAATAAATATGTATATGTAGAAATATTTTATAAAAGCTTCATTTAATTATTATAATAATTAGCAATTTTCATATGAATTATTATATTCTTCCATATATATATTATAAACGTCTTATGAAATTCACTGCTTTATATTAAAAAATATAATACCCCTATAAACTAAAATTATTAGCACAAGAAAATGATCTAATATAACGATAATATTATTATTCATTATTTATATTCACGTATAATAATATTTTGAATAAAACCAAATGATTTATTCTTAAGGAATATGTTATTAAAAGGAAGAATTCATATAAATTTTTGATTTATTGTTCTACTATAGTTATTTAACATTATGAAATTTTTTAGAGAATATTCCTTCATAAAATATGCTTAATTTTTTTTTTATATTTTTAGAACACGCATGGTATTCATATAATATGCTCAGGTACATTCGTAGATAGAAGAGAATAATGTATAATCCTTTATATTCCTCAAAAAAGTAGTGAATATTTCAGATCGTTCAAACTTATCAAATGTTTTATTTATATTATTATACATATTTTTATTTAGTAATTTTCCTTGGAGTAAGCATGAACTATGTATAATAAAATAATTCATAAAAAAAAA